CGCCCTGTGACCCCACCGCCGTATGAGGTGGCGACTCAATCTAAATTACGTTCACGACTCTAGTCTATGTTGACGAGTTACTTTATTTCAATATTTATTGCGTAACAACAGATTAGGATTACTAGTGTAATCAAAACAGCATATTTTAGGGATTTTTGTACCTCTTAATCAAACTGATCGGTCGCCAGGTCGCCACGCACGTCTAAGCCGATCCATACCTTAATAAAATATCATTAATAGTACATTTAATGAATTTATTTAAAAGTTGTGATTCCTAACATAGTATAAAATAAAATCGTTTCTTGCTATGTCTGTCCCTATGTATGCTAAGATCTTTAAATCAAGGAAACCGATACCAAAGCAGGTTTTTTTAAACGATAAAATGATTCAAATAGAAGGTTTCAAACACTCTTCTTGAATCGTTTTAAGATGTAAGAGTTTTACATAATGTATCTTACTAATATTATAAATGCGAAAGTTTAGATGGATGGATGGATGTTTGTTAGAGTTTGTAGCCTAAACTGCTGTACGGATCTCGATGTAATTTGGTGTAGATGTAGAGGATAGTCTGGAAGAACACATGGGCTGTTTACTTTTGTTTTTGTAAATACCAAGCGAACGGAGTCGCCGGCGAAAGCTAGTGTATAATGTAAGAATAATAAACAGATTTATAAATAAATAATCTTTTTATTTCCACCAAAAATTACAGTTTTATTCAAAAATAACATATATGACAATTTGTGAGAGATGGCAAAATGAGGTTACAACTTACACATCTATTACACATTCCCGCCAAACCCCTTACAATAATTACAAGCGACGCACCTTTTACACATGTAAACAAAAAGCACACAGATTACAATGAAATAAAGAAAGTATGAGAACCAAAGTCGGTCAAAAATGCAATTCTTAAATATAAAAAAAAATTAAACGTCTTAACTATTAACAAAATATCTATGAAAGTTTCCTAGTACAGAATCCTTAACTACAACAAATTTCTCATTTTCATCTTTAGGGAGGTCTTACTGATCGCTTTTACGTTAGTTGATGGTTGTAAGAATATGTTTCTACACTTAGGAAGTTTACTGGGTTCCCCGTAATGATGCAACTCTTACTTCGCGGAGTTTACCTGTAGCGGCAGCCCTAGTGTTTAACTGTTAGTAACTACATCTGTAGGTTCCACATCTTAATATGTTTGTAATGTAATTAAGTAATGCGTTTTTTATCTACAGGTAATATGACACTGGGAAAGTTCATTTTGAACTTTTAAACTCCACGCGTTGTTCGCTATTGTTTAGCTAGTATATATTACTTGCTATTGCCCAAGACATCGCCCGTGTAAAGTTTTAAAGTTCGAAACTTTTTTCAACCTATCACCAAAAGTATTAACTTAGTATTATTATAGAAATCTACATAATAAAAGAAATCTACTGACGCCAGATTCCAAATTTCTAAGCCCGGTAGTTTGTGAGCTGATTTTTCCAATTTAAATACTGTAAAGGACAATTTTATTCTACAAATAATTCTCCGGACAACAAACGCATTTATTTGGATAAGAATTTTTATTGAAACAAATAAAAGAACGCCGCAAATAGCGTGCGGTTTTTAATTCATTTTGTAAACAAACATTGGCTATTGTTAAAGGAAACCGTTAAAGATCTATTTAATGCCTCTACGGAAAAAAGTCATGATTGTATTTAAAATCAGAGAGGTTTTTTTTGAAAGTGGGAAATATTTTTATCGCGAAGAAGTAGCGTTTCCAGTAGTTAGTTACATTTGAAAATATGAATCATCTTGTGTCTGTTGTAACGAAAATATGTTACGATTTGTTAACTCAAGAAATTCCCTATTCCCGAGGGGACGTATGTATAATATGTTTTGTGTTGTATTTTCAAGTCGTTGTTAAATAGTAATTGACTTGTAAATATTTTTCTGATGGTTGTTTTATTACCCATTCATTTCAAATTGCAGTGACTGGACCCTTAGTTGTAACATGATTTGTGCAACTGGAAGTATTTTCTTCATGACATTAAATCAACAAGGATTTTAGTTTTTGCAATACATATATATTACATAATAAGGAAATTACTGGTTCTAATCAGAAATATATATTAAGAACCACGCTGTCCGATAATTTTACAACTGACGGTTAGAACCATTGGGTATACCACATAGTTCGTACTGTGCGTCGATTGGAAACAACAACAATCATTAATTAACATTTCTATTATTCATAAGATAATCACTAAGTAAGACATTTTACATTATTTTAAGGGTATTCCTCCTCTTACTTTACATGTAAAGGATAAAAGTTTGCTACAAAAGAACTTTAAATATAGAATCTTCTCCCGACAAACGAAGTCAAGGGCATCTTCTCGTTACAGTACTAAGATACAATAACTTCATATAAAGTGTTTTATTAATCAAAAAAGGTTCCTTAAAATGTGGAAATATGTTCTTGCTGGTAACCCTAAATGCTCACAGGCGCCCTCTTGCCAAAGTCAAAAAGGTGCCTTAATACCCCTGCGGCACTATACAGAATAAATATGTTCCATACTCTTTGCAGTAGTGATGTGCCAACTCGGAAAAAACGTAACTCGATTTAACTCGAGTTAAAATGTAACGAGTTACGAACTCGAGTTAACTGGATGAACAAGTAAATGTTTTTTTGAGTTTTTCCAAATTATTCCCTCGGCTTGGCATAAAATTGGAATAGACAAATTATATTTTTATCTGTTTAAATTTTTTATTTTTTATATTATCTATTTAAAATGTATTGGGAGAGTTACACCTACTAAATAAAGTAACAAAAAAAGTGATTGTTTAAAATCGAATGATTTTTCAAGTATTTTTGGCTTGAGTTTAAATAAAAATAAAAATTACTGTCAATTAAACTGAAATTATATAGCAGTCTTGTTAAAATAAAATCAAACTAACATTATGACGGTAGTATGTGCGTAGGTATATTTACAGACGCCTAGTTGTTTTATAATGAGTAATAATCACAATATTTTTATGAAAATAAGATAATTAAAATCACAAAGAATATTTTTTTTCTAATGTTACATATTTCGGACGGATTTATTTTTTATCGGAGAAAAGTAAAATCGATTCGACTGTTATCGACTTCGAAATTCAAAAATGTAAAGTAAGAACTCTCAAACGATTCTTTCCTTCTCTCAATAATTCTCAAACGATTCTCTAACGTCTAGAAAATTTGATCCTTCTAAGTCTATCACTTTAATTTTTAATTCCGAGAAAAAGAAAATAGACTCGAAATTCTCAACGATTCTCTAGCGATTTGCATGAGAAAAATTAAAAAAAATGAAGTGTGGGGGCCAACTTCACGTTAAAAATTGAAATTACTTTTACAGAGGAACGATTTTTTTTCTCTCAAACCCTCTCTAACAATTTTTAAACGATTTGCATAAAAAAGTAAGAAAAAAATTGGGGGCGCTAACTTCACAGAGGTCAAACTTCGCTCCATGTCGGTTCCATTCGGTTTTCGCACTCGAGTTAGAGAGAATTCAACTCGAGTCGATTCGAGTTACGCCAACTCGAATTGACTAGAGTTACGAACTCGTGTTCCATCACTACATTCTTCATTCAATGTTTTCGAGTGGTTGGGTGATGACGTCTAGGCGTAGCCATCTCGGTCTAACAAAGAAAGTGTTTTAACAGAAATGTAATTTCTGACATAAAACTAGTACAATATTGTTGTAACTCAACTGACGCGAATGGATCGTTACTTCTACAAACGAAGAATTCAGCCACTTATAAACGACCTTAATCGATCAGCGAACTGTAGTGTTTATTTATTTTCAACGGATTTCTTTTGGTGTTTGTTTTGCAAACAATAGTTTATCCTATCTTTGAATTGAACATTTAGATCGTAACGTGGGTGTAGACATTCGAGGTAATGTTTTGTGAGTCGAAGTGAGCTATCGGGATGTGTCTGCGGCTGGTGCTAGTGTGGGCGGCGGCGGCGGCTGTAGTGACAGGCGCCGCGGCCGCGCCGGACCCCTGGTTGAGCGACGTTGGCCTGAAGATGCACTCGGAATTGTACGAAGCGATGGGAAAGATCGAGGTGAACTACTCGACGCCCGTCATCAACGCGACGTACGTGGCGCGTGTCGAGTTCGACATGCGGGCCATGGGCATGCTATACAATTCCACGCACATGATCATCGACTTTATCGCCAATGAGCAGGCTTACCCCGAAGGTAAGGATATAATCATTATGATGCAAGGCTTTTAGCCGAAAGACTAAAAACAGGCTATCGTCAGGAGCTGCGTATCATTGTCAGTATGCAACAAACTAACTAATGAACATCTTAATAAAAATACGTAAATAAAACATAGACTTAATGACTACTTGACCCATGCCTTGAAGGCAAAGGTGGTCTATGCTCACTATTCACTGAAAGTTATTTTAATTCAAATAATGCAATCCAAAGCTTGCCTTGACCTAACACCTTTAGCAAATGTAGTATAGCAATTAACAATACTAAATCTTGCCTTTTAGTGCATGTGGCGACACAACCCACGTAGTCATTTTTTTTTGGATTCATAATATTGATATTTAAGACTAAAATTGATATTAGTGAACTTCCATGATAATTTAAAATAGCAAGTGTAGCAATATAGATGTGTGGAGTGTCAGGTAGTGTTCATAGCTTAATCTTAGTTTATTTTTTGGAAATTGATGTCATTTTAATAATTTGACAAATGTAAACCACAAAGTAAAATTCAAAAATTTTCACAATTTTATGCGGATGAAGTCGCACGGGAACACTAGTGTATGTTGAGCTAATGAAAGGGACTTGTATACATTTAAATGTGTGTTAATTAGTTTTGGGTGGATTTGAATAAAAGTCCATAAAACCAGGCTAATGCAGGCAGGTGTGGTCTGTAATGACATACATCTAAAACAAACATGATAAAATGTTAAGCGAACAAGAAGAATTAAAATGGTAATTAAAATGAAAAAGAATATGTATGACCTTTTAAATATATGATCTCAGGTCAATAAAAAACAGTCTAGTTTACAAAAAAAAATTATTATAATGTAGATAGAATCCATCCAATCTTTTATAAGATTTAAATATATTACATACTAGCTGTTGCCTGTGAGGTCAACTGCCTTATATTTAAAGGTTCAAAACATATGTTCACCTCTTTTTTCAACCTATTAGCAAAAGTATTACTTAGTAGTAATCTACATAATAACAGAAATATACTGGTGCAAGATTCCAAACTTCTAATCCCAGTAGTTTGTGTGCTTATTTTTCAGTTACCCTGATAGTTTGTGTTCGCGTTATCTTCTAAACTATTAGTCCAAATGAAATACAATAAAGGACAATTAATTCTGACAACAAATGGATTTATTTAGACAAGGATTAATATTAAAACCAATAAAACAACTCCACAAATAACACATGATATATAAAATATGGCATATGGTTTTAGCGCGGCCATATTTGTGTAATTATTTAAATTATGTTATAATAAAATTTTCAATAAATAAATATTGATAATATAATATAATAATTCTTACCAGTGTTCTAATAGGGGAACATCATATTTAAATTTATTATAATTTTATAGTCATAAGGAAAATGTGTTAATGCATCTTTTTCCTTTAATTTTGTTATTGCGATAATTACTCATAACTATTATAGGAAATCTATCTTACTATTGTTTGCTCAAATTTAGTTATAAAGTCTTCTTCATACTGAAACAGTAATTTAGTCCAATACCAAGTAATTTAGTATCTAAAATGTTCTCTACTATCCTAATTAATGTTCTGCACTAGTGGTGTGGGCAGTACATGAGTGCCTAGTGCTAAACAAAATAAATATTAGCACTAAATGAACTCTAATAGATGAGTTTGGACTTGTTTAGGAGATAAGTGAGGAAGCAGTTATGCTTGATAGGTGGCGCTACTTGCAAAAGAAGTAGAATTAAATGGATTGCTTTGGCAAAAGATTAGCGCTTGCTAATTTTCTCACCTAATTATTTATTAAGTTACAAAATTACTAATCTAGTATGTACCAACGTTAATAGTTGTAAATGTATAATATTATTGCTAATTTTATGGCTTTAATCAGTTTCTAAGAAGTGCCACAGACGTCGGTAACTGACTCTTATCTGGAAGTGGGTTTTATGATTCATTATTAGGTACCATTAACATTTCACTATGTTATCATTAGCCACAACACTTTGTTAAATATTTCTTTTATATGAACAACATAAATTAGGTATTTAGTTTAAGAGAATAATCTATACTTCTATACTAATATTATAAAGAGGAAAGATTTGTATCTTTGGATTTTTGTAATGTTCTCACAATTGCTTTTAACACTTAAATGTACTATAATTGTAGTTGCCTAATTATCTAATTACTATGTCATAAAGAGAATTGTGCCATGAACACTTGTGGAGTATTACAAATGAACACTCAAGTGTCAATGATGACCTTCATGTGTGCAGTCCGCTTTCGCCAGCTTTTCCTAATTGTATGCTTATGATAAACATTGATATTTGCAATAACAAACAACATGATCAGTGAATCAATGCTGCTATTTCTAGCATATTTATGCACAAAGCCATTACAATCTTGTAGACATGGATATTAAAAATAATATACTATATACCATCCTATCTTCTATTATAAAAAAATCAACAAAATGTTAATGTTCAAAAGTTTGTTTTCTAAAAAGCTTTGAGTATAGATGAGATAAATTGTAGGTCCATAGTATCGATAAAGTGCTTATCTCGTGGGGTCTGGCGAGCGCGGGGGCGCGGGGGCGCGAGGGTGCGGAGAGCGGGCGGCAGGCGGCGGGCGTCGACCCGCGCAGCGCCCGGCTGCACTGCACCCGCGACCCGCATCTGTCTGCGATGAGACGCCTGCTGCCACACAGTGTGAACAGATAGGAATGGTCAAATTATGTGTTTCACCATTGTACCCTTTTCTAAATTCGTATAGCCTGTGATATTGCCCTGTCAGTCAAATATAATACTAGCTGTTGCTCATGACTTCGGCCGTGTGCAGGTTATGAATTAAAAATTTAGGTTCGCCACTATTTTCAACCTTATTAGTAAATAAATAAATCAAACGTCTTTATTGTAATAATGATGCAAGATTCCAAATTTACTTCGTGAGCTAAGTTTTCGGTTATCCTTATTGTTTATTGGTTCGCGATATCCTTTAAATTCTAAACTATTAGTCGAACTTTTTAAACCGGCAAAGTAGTTTTTACGTGAATCAAATACATAGAAAAATCCAAATGTTTCTTCCATATAGTTTTAGTCTAGATTAGTATATTAGTATTCGTATAGATAATAACTTGACAACAAGGGAAATATATCTCAAATTTCAATGAAAAGCTATGACCTGTTATAGCCATTATATTATCTATAATGATTCTTATAAAACAACGACCCTTTTCGTGATTTCTCTTAAACCGCTTTTTCCTTCTAAGCCAATGAATGTATTTCAAAACGGTTCATACCATCGTGCAGATAGTTTATTCCTAATTGTTAATGGACAGATGGAGGGACGCCAATGAATTTACGCGTAGCAGTAAACAATGGAGAGATTGCCGCACTGTAGCCTTGCGATATCGCGGGGAGCGCCGACGTCTCTGAGGACGGCTAGCCCACCGCACGTTTTATTTATAGAGACACGCGCAGCGCAACACGTGCACCGCCTCAGGTCCGCAGACACTGCCCTATGCCACCACAAACACAAGTCAAACTGAAAGTGATACCATGTGCAATAGGATACTGGAATTTGACAGGTTTTGTGGCATCTTAACCTCGATAGATTACCTATTTCGTGGCCCGCTAAAGGCTGAAGGTGTATTGCAGGCGCGACGACCACAAAGACGGTCTCTTCTGGCCGTTCAATACAGCCGGTTACATGACATTTCACCTTCCCAGTAACCTGTTTTTCATGCATATTCTCTGTACTATCTTACAGTGCCAAGCGTTATCAATCTTGGCTTTACTCCGCCTGCAGTCTGCACAAATTAAAACATCTTTATACGATTCAAAAAATCTTTTGATACGTACCCTAGCAGAATGCAATACTTGCTTATTGCCTTCCATATAATGAATACCGTTATTGTTTCCACGAAAAATTATTTAAACCCAATTGTTGACATAACTGCGGGTTTCCACGGTCCAACTTGTCCACACATGTACTAAAAGTTACGTCGGTTGAATTTGATGGTTCCCATATAAGGTTCTCGCATTGTTTCTCACTGCGCCCGCAGTGCCACTATTGACTTAGTGAGTGTGGCGGTTGCGGTGCACAATGTCACGTATGTACATGTCAGCCTGCTTTGCTGGTCACTGTCGGGCGAAGGCCACACAGATTCTGTTTCTACTTTACTTCTTGTTGTCTCGTTGCCTTTTAGTCTCCATTGTTGGGTTAGCTTCTATGTTGGGATATATCAACATCACTAGCATTATAGCATGTAAAGTCAGCAGTCCACGCCGCAGTGATGAGATACTATCGGCGACGATATGCTTAAGTTAACTTCCTACTGTGTTTCAAGTTTAATTGACAAAAGCGTGGAATTTGTCTTAGCAACGCAACAGTGAGTGGAGCGGTCGAGTGAGCGGCCCAGAGGGCATGAATCACCGTTGTTGGCCGCGTTAGCGCGACCGTTGTGACGTCACCAATGTGCGTCACACAAAAGCTATGTCGGTATCGCTTACTGTCAATGTTAATATTTATGAGTTTACCTGAATATTTATCATTTTTTTATTGATGAAGCGATCGTCCCGCCAGCGTCACGCACCGTTTACACCAGTTGAACTATCTTTTGTAACATGTAAAGGTCGTTGTAGGCGTACCACGTTCGGTTCTACAAGTATTGTAATTTGCTAGGACGTGTCAGTCACCGCTTGCCACCAAAATTAGTATTGAGTATGTTTTCTCATGACTCGGTACCCACATACAACTATAAGTTATTGAATGTAAAATACCGTTTGTCCCTTTTCGGTGAGAGTCGTCGTGTCCTCCGGCAAGGGGGAGGGGAGGTAACCCCGTCGAGCGCGCGACAGTGTAGCGACTATTTAAATATGCAGCTCGCAGCGACGCGTTCACTTGTACGGTAACTTGTCTTTTCTAAGAAACAACAGTAAAGTGTCTGCTTCATCGCTCGCGTGTCTAAACAAGCCGCCTTGCTTCTTTGTCTCGTGTTTCGGTGCT